ATATCTATACCTCAAATTTGCTGTTGTGTATAAGCCTTTGTGCAATTGTGATTTTAGTATTCTATGTGCTTTTTATTTTAAAAAATATTTTAATTAGGAAAAACGTTAAATACTTTCTCAGACCCTTAATCAAAGTGGTTTTGACTTCTTTGCCAAACTGGCTATAAGTGGACTCTAACACTTCCTTGCATCAGTGCTAAACTGCAGAAGTCAGGAGTGATAAATGCATTTCCACTGAACTGTGTTCCTTCTCTTTCATCCTAGACCCTAAAAACAGAATGAGCAATGCTGCATTTTTATAACAGAGCGTATCATTGTATATACCCTCTTCTGTCAGAAGAATCACCTTGTGAGAGCAGTCGTGTTTGTGACAAGCTGAACTGGCAAGGACCTTTCCTGTCTGCCCTCCCTGTAACCCCTCCATTTCACAGCCAGTGTGCTGTTGCTCTAGCCAGCTGCCATATATTTTCCTCTGGGAATAATGATGTGGTATGATCAAAAACATCATTTGGTCAGGAATTTTTAGGATAGATTACAAAACCAGCATAGTTTACAATAAGTAACAAAAATCCATTAAAATACATGAAAAAGGAGAAGAGAATAAATGTAATTTATGGAGAGATTTATGAAAAATTGGAAATTACAGACTTTTTAACTTAGAAATTGCCTTTCTTTTGTGATGGATCACACTTGACAGAGTTATCGTCACCACATCTCTCCCTTGTGAGACCTGCCCTGTCTGTGTAATTTGACTTCCTGCATAGAGGGCAACGACCTGTGCTTTTCCTTCATTTAGTTTTATAGTAATTTTTTTTCAATATCCCTGTCTAATGCCAGAGAGAAAGGGACAGATCTTTACATAACATGGCAACTGTGTTTGTGCTTTTAATGTAAAACAAACTTGATGTTTGTTGTGACATCACTGGAAAGATTCATTTTAATCTCAGTGGGTCTTACTGCCCACAATATGCAGCATCTCTTTTGTGATGTTGGCTCTGAGTTAATACTTAAATCTGATTTTAGCTAGCTCTACAGAGAATTTTTTTTTTATAACATGTTGGTTTGCTTTGTTGTTTTAATGTTCCCTTTTTTCTTAATTATGCAGTTCAGAAAATAAATATTTTAAAGCTAACTGGCTTTTCTTTTCCTGCCCTTTCTCCCTACCTTTTTCCCCACCTCCTTTCTTTTTCATGTTTCCTTGATTTAGGCAATTTACTACATGCCCTACTTGCAAAATCATAGTTTGCAGTAAACATATCAGAGATGCTTGTTTTCCTCTACTCTTTGAATACAGAGATAAAGTTTCCCTAGTCCATGTGGGTGGAATAAGATTTCTTTTACTTAAAAATGGAAAGAGACAAGATAGCAGATCTCTCATCATGGATGTTAAGTCTCAGCTTTAAAATAAAGCATACCTGTTTAAATGCTTTTCCTTGAATTAATTTATTGCACTATGAAGGATATATCAGTCAGTTACAAACTGTACCCAAAAAGGTAAGAATGTGCAGAAACAGAACTGCAAGCCTCTGTGTTTCTTGCCTAACTCTGACACTCTGTAACTTGGGAATAGTGGTTTAATTTTATTTACTTACATATAAAACAGAGTTAATGCCCCTTCCTGCTTTGTAGTTATGAATCTTAACTAATTTAAGTCTTATCTGTAAACAGAAATTATATTGAGAAAATTGCGTAAAGAGCACTAATGAGGCCTAAGTGGCTTGAGGAAATAAATATTCCATTCGGCTTTGAGTCAAAATGATCTCATTCTGTACTCTTTCTAATTGCATCTTTGATATTTTCATGCTAAAAACAATTATAGCCACGATAATAAAGAATGAAACTACTGATAGCTAAATTCTTGCTTTGTAACACCTCACACTTATCAAACACAAAATTTTACATCGCCAGAAGAGGAACAATGGAATAAAATACCTAGCTCCTAGATAGACAGAAAAGCAGAGAGCAATGGACAAATATTTCTTTTTTTGTGTGTATTTACTAGATGCTGTCATGCTATGAGACAGCCTGGTCCTTTAATGATATATTTCTGTAGTCTGTTGTCAACTGCCATACTGTTTGCACCATTAAGTAAACGCCTTCTAAAGATGCTCTGGGGAGCTATTACAGAGTGGTACGAATAATAAAAATTTCATATTTTGCTCTTCTGTTGTACATTCTCTCTGGCACAAAGGCACATTTAATTCATCTGGCCACACAGTTTTCATAGGATGTCATGTTCACTTGGTATTTTCTTAATCTTTCTGAATACTACAAATGCTTATTTGTGGCCAATGATTATAAATATTTAAATTAATCTGCTTCACTTTTGTTCAAAATAATTTAATTTCTGATATCAGTTTCAGTGACTTTTTCTGATGAGTTTTAGGCAAATATTCACTAAAAGCAGATCTGGAACACATGGGTTTTGGCGTTTGTTCTGAAATTATTTCTAAGAATTGTTCTTGAGCAAGCAGGAACAGAAATGTGTAACAGCTCTGAATTTAAAATGATAAATAATAAACGCAGAACTTGCAGTGACCAGTTCTCAACCAATCCAAACTGAAATATACTTACATAAAATCATTCATTAAATCATTTAAAACCATAAACAGATGCAGAGAAATAGTCTCCTGTTTCAGACCATTCAAGAACAGAGAAAAGGCTTAGGTGTTAGTCACAAACAGACTGCTGATTTGAGTTTAAAAAACCAAAAACCAAACTACGTCATACTTATGAACAACATAAAATATGACATTTTATATCACTAATCTAGTTTTGTATGGTATAACATATGTATAAGCGACTATAAAGCTGTGCATATTACCTGGTAAATGATAAATGAGCGCTATAACATAACTTAGGACTATCAGTTTACAGAGTAAATAATAGAATAATTTTGAAAGAGAAGTTAATTGAAAGAAACTGCAAGATATCCCCTTGTATTTACGGAACAGAAGACAAATAGGTTGTTTTGTTTTATTCAATTCTTGTGTCGTCACCATCCTTGTGTCTCAAGCGAATTATGTTGGCTCAATTGAGACTTAATGTGGTAGTATTCAGCATGCCAAATACGAAGCGTCAGATCTCTCTTTCTCAGATACTCTGTTTAAAAACCTGAGAATAGAAAAACATGGACAATATCAACTATTTTTGTCTACAGGATAGTTTTAAATTTCACATTTGCTGACTTCAGTTTCCACAAGATTTCACTTCTCCAGCAGGTGGTTTGGTTATTCTGACCAAGTCCTCCTATAACTTTTAGAAATTCATCTCTGGACGCTAACTAATGCCAGCATTCAGTCAGGCTGTGGTATTGCATGCTGGTTATGTGTTTTGCTAGTATTTTCTATTACAATGAAATAGACCAATTTTATTCGATCGAATTAAATCACTTAATATTATCTAAGAAGGTATGCTTATAAATGGAGTAATAGATAGTAATGTAGTTTTCTAGTATGTTTTTGGTGAACTTCCTTCATCCTCTTGTTTAACTCATTTAGCATTCCTGTGCTAATTTAGAGGAAGATATTTCTGTTCATCACTGCCAAAATGTGTCCTCTGGTTACTTAAAAGGACTTTTATGGTTGAAAAAGTGTTAAAATAACTAAAAATTTCTCTTTAAAAAGATACTAAGGTACATGATAAAATTATCTGTTTCTTTACATTAATAATCCAGGAAATGAAGACAACATTAACTTTTGCTTTATTTCTGTTTATATTGCATACGTAAGAACTTTTAAAGAGACAGATGAGAACAATATTGTTCACATGCCTATTGCTTTCCTTTTCTATATATACATTGTGTTTTCTTAGTGCTTGCATACACATTTTCTCCTTAATTTAACCATACTGATAACTTCATGTGTATTTAATAGAAGGCTGGGTGCAGAAATTATGATATTTCGAAGCTCTATCTTCCTTAAATTCCCAAGTTGGTTATTTCTGTGGTTTCTGGATATCTGGTTTTTTTATGGATCTTGGGTTTACTTGCTTCAATGTAGGACAAATAATTGAGAATCAAAGTGTTCTACTCACTCTACTTAGTAGGTGAAATTACTGAAGCTGAATTTTTGTAGATCCCCCGAAAATCATATGCATATCAGGTTTTCACTGCATCTAGTACAATTCTAGACAGAGTCCTTGAGGGAACTCTGCATCACCTCACGTAGCTTTCAATAGTAGAGAGTCTTGTGTTCAACTAACTGTTCTAGCTGGAAACTTAAAGCATGTGTGGTTCTGAAACAGATTTGGAGGAACGAAAAATATTTCAACCTATGTTGTTAATCAGTCCCTTCTCTGGTCTGAGAAATAGAATAATGCGGCAGCTACCAAATCTGTTATTCTTACCATATCAAGTTTCAGGGTGAAATGGAATAATTCTTTGTACATGGGCAAAATTGTATTATTAATTGAAGGTTTTATAACAAAACCATTTGTATGTTGTTGAGTTTCAGAAAGTTGGATAGTTTGACTTGGAAAAAAAATATTGGCACTGGGTGTAGCACAGTTAGCATAGGTGGTTACTGAGCCTGAAAAACACTCTTCCTAATCAGTGATAGCCGCACCGTATGACTCTTCAGAGTCCTACAAGAGGAATACCAGGAAGAATATGCTCCTACTTATAAGCTAAACTTATATTTAGGTCTTCATGACATCATAAGAAAAAGTTTTCTTTCTTATAGAAAAGGTTTTCTATAATGTTACACTCTGTGCTTCTTTGTCCTTCCCCCTGTCTCCTTAATAAGTACCATGAAGGTTTAAAATTAGTATTAAAATGTTTAAGGATGTTGAAAATAATGTCAGTAATATAAAACTTTTCTCTTTAGTAGCATGCGCTATGCTATGTAAGTTAAATTGTAATTTTTTTGCACATGTTCCATAATAGATCCAAACAAGGAATTACATTTGTATTCCCAAGAAATTTCTAAATTTGTGAATTACAGAATTACGATTGTTTGCCTCTGTTCTCTGAATATGCATTGTTGGCTTTTTTTAAATAGGCCTTGATGATTGCCTCCAACAATACATAAAAAATTTTGAAAGAGAAAAGATCAATGGCGAACAGCTGCTACACATCACTCATCAAGAGCTTGAGGAACTGGGAGTCACTCGCATTGGCCACCAAGAACTGATACTGGAAGCAGTTGATCTGCTATGTGCGTTGGTAAGTGATTTCTTGCATCACTCTGGGTTTATAAATTTCCAAACCCAAACTAAAATAGTGTTGACTGCACTCTAGAGCGATATGCTTGTACAGACACAGTGGTTTTGCTTCATTAAAGGACAGATATGTACAGGCTTCTTTCAGCTGTAAAGAAACTATATCCATTTTATGGTTATGTATGATGGTCTTCTATTGCTCTTCCTCTAACTTTTTTGGTCTTGCATTCAAATACTGTTGACTATCACTGCTGGCATCCATATGGTTCTGTAATTATATGCCATATGCCCTCGTATTTCACTGGCATTTGCCACACTATACTAAACCAAGTAGACCTGAATGTTTTAACCATGCCAGCATTCAAAAGGATGGTACTAAGGAGCCAGAAGGTAATGCTAATTAGACTGGAAGATTGTTTAAAATGAGCTTCAAGACAAGATTGGAATGATAAAATTGACTTTATCTAAAGTACAGACATGTGTGTCACTTAAAGGTGGGGTTTTTTAGCTACCTGCAAGCATCCAAATTTGGAAGAACACTGTTTTTTTCATATAACAGGTTATTAATCCAGTTAGCCTCTTAACAAAGTATTTGATATCAGAAAATTCTTTTTTTCCTCTGTTAATTCCTACTGGCTACTAAAATGCAACGCATTAACTTAATTCTAAAGAAAAAATAACTTTGTGTAGGTGAACAGGTGAAAGGATATTGAAAATACAAAAAAGTAAAATAGTAAAATTACATAGGTAAATTACATATGACAGTCCCAGTATTCTACTACTTTGTCAGGAGTTCTGCTTTTGCAGAAACTAGGTTATCCTGTGGGATTTTGATAAGATATATTGTCTCCAACAGGGAAACTGGCACTTAGCAGTAAAATAGAAAACAAGCGGGGAAAAATGCACTTGATCTAAGAAAAAAGCAATATGAAGTACCTTTTATTATGCATATGCTTCTTGCAAGTACCTCTAATTACAAAATACACTTAATGTAGCTTGAGATCTACTCTTGCAAACTCAATAACTTATATGTCGGATCAGAGAAGTGCTTTTGGCCTTGGTGCAGCCATACCTGTAAACTGGTGCATACTGCCTAAGCCAACAAACTTTTGTGTTTTGGAAACCTTTAAAATCTAACTCAAGAGTTTTTCTTCTGAAACATTGTTTTCCACATTAAAAGAACCTAAATACCCCACAATGTTACGTTATGTTATCTAAAGAACAAGACACTAGTCAGAAATAGCAGACCCAAGAAGTTTCCTCTGGAAAAAGAATGCCCTTCAGTCAAGTGTGCCCATTAGGAGGACTCTTGCTGATTTTTTTCTATTATTATTTTTTCTTTTTTAAACAAAGAAACTATACCTCTTAAATGCTGGCCCTGCCGCTGGTCAGTAGTGCAGCTCTTCTCTTACTGTGCTGTCTCATGACCTTATTTTTTCTTTTGAAGCAGGATGGGGATTTTCCAGCTCCTGGTATCATTTATTTAGCCTCTTGCCTTTAAGCCCTTACCCTTCCTTTTTCACTCTATCTCTAAAATGCCTGCTTTTTTTTTTTCTTTTTTCCCCTGCTTCTAAATTTTTATCTTCCTGCCCATTCCATGTGCTTTCTGCTGAGTGAGTCTGCTGCCTGCGGCTCTGCTCTTGGGGGTATCCTCTTGCTTCTGACATTTCTGCCTTGCTCCTATGCACAACACATTCTTCAATTCGTGCAGCTTCTTACTGAGCCAGGATCACAAGTAAAAGTTTTACAAGACTAAGTGTACTATCTATTTTTAATCTGTAATAATTTATAAGAATTTTAATCTATGTAACCAAAAAACGTCATTAAGAATTTCTCTTAATTCTTTTAAATAATGACAATAATTGAATGGTAGGCGATCTGATGCTGCCCTTATTGAAGGCTTTACTGAAATACACTTCTAACATATTACAATTGTATTCTTATTCTGTGCTAAATCTTGAAACATTGATAGATTATTGCACTAAAATCTGACTGCTGGTTAAGTGATCAGTGAAAATTGTGAACTGGACTTCATCACTGCAACGGATTTTTAGACTAGCTAGTCTAAAAAAAACAGAGGAAAGACCTTATTCAAAAAGTAATTTAAAAAGAAAGGGGGGGTATAGGGGCATCTATGTTTTGCTTATGCCACTAAACAGGAACTAACATTAAGAAATTATTTGAATCAGAATGTCTTAAGCAGCATGTCCTTTTACCCCTGATTTCCTGAGTTACATTATAAGCAAAGTTAATACAGCTTATGGGCAGCTAGAATACAGCCCCAGTCGGTAAGATGTCAATACATTAATGCATTGTGCATGTGTTTGTATATATGGACAGGGTGCATAGAGCACAAAGTATATTTGTAGATTCATATATACTTTAAAAAAAAGTTTTTCAAAGCTTGTAATGAAAAAAATTGAGGGGAGAGATCAATTCAAACAATCTGGTCTAAAATTCCACATGTGGAAGGGTGGTAACAGCAGAAGCAATAGTTTGTTCTCTCCCTCTGTCCCTCCATTTGCCCCATTCAGCATGGCATGTGTTCCCAGTCCCGTGCTGGCAGAGCATCCACAATGCTACGCA